GAAAAGGCACTAGCGCGTTTTGACAGTGTTGCAGAGTGGGCAGACTTTATCTCGTTCCTTGGCCGCCTGCTCAAGGCGCTGCAAGCGGCGCCCAAGTACAATGTCATCCCGAACAAGCTCATTGTGGCGAAGCGCTTGTCCCAGTGTCTGAACCCGGCCCTGCCCTCTGGCGTGCATGCACGCGCATTGGAGGTGTACACGCACATTTTTTCCGTCATTGGGGCGGATGGGCTGCGGCGCGACTTGCCTGTGTGGACACCAGGTTTGCTGCCCTTCTTTCCTCATGCCGCGACGTCGATCAAGCCTTTGGTGCTAAGTCTGTATGAAACGTATTACCTTCCGCTGAGTGTGGACCTGCGTCCTGTGACGCGCGCGCTGCTCCTGTCCCTCCTTCCGGGCCTGGAGGAGGAGTCGAGCGAGTTTTTCGACCGCGTCGTTACGCTGCTGGACCAGCTATCGCACAGTGTGCAGCGTCCTTTTTTTCTCCAGACCATGTGGCATGTCATGATCATGACGCCGAGTGTGCGACTGTGTGCGTTTCACTACCTAGCGCGCCGTATGCCCCGCCTGGGTGAGCCACAGTCACCACCCCTAGAGGGCTTGCATGTGTCACTGCTCAGTTGTGCTATGGCGCAAACACTGCGTGATGATACGCTGCTCGTGCGTCGTCAGGCTCTGGACTTTTTGGTCCAGCACATTTCCCTGACCTCGGCGATGTACGCATCGCTAACGCCGCCTCAGCGAGCGTCTCTGATGGACGCAGCGCTCGGCACCGTGTTGCGTCGCGACATTAGTCTGAATCGCCGCCTATATACGTGGCTCTTGGGTGCTTCGGAAACGCACGAGGCGCAGCAGGCGTTTTTTTGCCAGCATGCGCTCGATAGCGTCAAGCAGGCGCTTCGCGATGCGATGGGTCGCGATTCGGACGCACCGCGCCCCTTTAAAGTGCTAGTGTCGCTCATGGACAAGCAAACCCTTGCGCAGCCTTTGCTTCGAGCCATTGTGCTGGATGTGTTTGCCGCGTTACAGCAGCTAGATGCGGCGGCCACGGACGACGTATACCCAACGGCGCAAACGCTGTTCGAGGCACTAGACGCGCATGTACTGTACCAGCAGCTGTATGAGGGCGTCATCGACCAAGTGCATGATCGCACGGACCAAGATCGTGTGGGCTTGTTCCAATATATTTTGTCGTCGTTTGAACCGCACGACGAGGAGGCGAAAACTGTGTATCTACCGATCCTCTGCATGGCTTTTACTGCGCAGCTACAAGAGGAGATGGCCGCGGGCAAATTGTCCGGTCCTTTGGCACTGGCGGTCCTCGAGCTGGTGCAGGACCTGGTGCAACGCTTGGATGCGCGAGCACTCCTTCTGCATGCCCCTGGGGCACCGCTGGCATCGCTACAGGATCCTGCGCGCGAATGGTTCGGAGATACACCGCCTGAGTATCCACGGACAATGCAGGATGCTGCATGCCTGACCAAGCTGATCGAGGCGCTCTTACGAGTGTCGCTACCGTTGGCCTCTAGCGCCTCTTGGAGCGATGTGCATCGACACAGCCTTGCGCGCAGGGCCTGTGCAGTGGTAAACAGGCTTGTGACGCTTCTGGATGCGGCGCAGATGGATGCGGATACACGCGAGGTGCTATCGCTGGCATCGTGGAGTGCGCCGCTGTTTGATGCGATTGCCGAGGCAACCACATTTGAAGAGGTGCACGATGTGCTTCGCATGGCGCTCCAAATGAACCAATCTTTTTCCGTGGACTTTTCCATCGACTTTACGCGCCACGCATTCTTGGAGGGGGTGATGCGCCAACTGCTGACCTACCTGCAACCTGATGCATTTCAGCACCATAAACTCGCCGTGGCCCTATTCTTTGACGTGTGCCCGTTGGTCTCTGACAATTATGCCACAACACTGCTGTGTCAGCAGCTCTCGCAGCCAGGGCCAGAGCGCGAACGTGTGATGAACGCGCTCGGTACGCTGTGGCGCTTGGACGAGCGCGCCTGCACTGAGATGGAGGCCTGTCTGTTCCTTCTTCTGGACCGCCTACGCTCGCACGACCCGGCCGAGAAGCACGAGTGTGAATTGTGGCTCTGTGCGTATGTATCGTCGTACGACGCGCTGCTGATCATGCTCGTGGACCATTTGGTGCGCGTAGAAGCCGAGCGCCAGTGGCAGCCCGTCACAGTGGGCGAGCGTTCGATCCCTGCCTATGTATATGGGGCGCCTTTTGATGAGGCCTACACGGACTATTATCTTGCCACAATTTTGGCCCTGATCTCTGTGGCCGGCTCGCGGGTATGGCGTGCCTTGCAGGAAGCGACGTATACGTGGCCGGACAGCGTGGAGCGCTACGGTGCGGACCAGACGCTGCCGCTGGCCGACGCCTTGAAGCACTACCTTGTTGTGCTTTTGCGATCTCTGCCTGACCAAGAAACCACTGTGTCTAGCACGACCACCTCTCTGTGCCTAGAGATCCTGCGCCTAATGCTCGCGATGGAGCCACCTGCTACGTGGTGCGCCGACGTGGAAACAGCTCTGGTCGATGGCCTGCAACTGGCCATGCACCGCAGCGATGCCACTGCGCAGATCATGTTGTTGCGCACGCTGCGAGAGGTGCTGCTAGTGCAGTACGGAGATGAACCCCAGAGTGACAGGGCGTCTGCCTTGATGGATCTGCTGCAACAAGGACTCTTATCGACCACCTCGGACACGGTGTTCTTTGCCTGGACCGATTTAGCACATACGCTGCTGCCCTTGGCGCGCCATGCTGTACAAGAGTGCATGCTGCCGCTGTGTGCGTGTGTCCAGAGCATGCTCATCGAGGCGATGCCCCAGGGAGAAGCGCCGCACAAGGTCGCGATGCGGCCGGCCAGCGGAATCCACGCCTCGCGTGTGCCCAGCACAGCCTTGGAGATGAACCAAATGATTTCGCTGCTGGAGCACACGCTCATTCAGGCACTCTCGTTACGGAGTTTGGAGGCGGAACGCAGCGCACGCCCCGTCGAGTCAGTGGGAAGCTTTCTGGGTAACATTTCCAGCGTGTTTCTTAGCGACAGTGGCTCAGGACCCGCCGCGCAGCCCATTTTATCGCCCATGCTGCGTCCTGCGTCCGAGGTGGTGCAAGCCTTTATGTATGTGTGGGTCGCTGCTCGGGGCGATGCAACGTGGGACTCGGTGATGACGCGCAGTCTCGCGGCCCTATCACGGCTGTACGCCTTGCATGCAGAAGCCACGCTCGAGACGCTGGTCGAGCACGGGTGGAACAGCAGCCGGCGGGCGCCTAGCGCCACCGTGGAGCGTGTGCACAGCGAGACTATTGCTTTGCTAGAGGCTCTGGCCGGCCACGCCCAGATCATTTTCACGTCGCTGTGCGACTCGATCGCAGCGCGCATGCCCATGGCGGACCGAGGACGTCGTCCACTTCGCCAGGGGCTCGTGAGCGAGTCTATCATGTTCCGATTTTTGGAGATGTATGCGGTTCATCTCGATGCCGAGGCGCTAGCTCAGGTGTGGCCTGTGGTGGCGCTACTGGCCAAGAATGTGTGTACGTCGGGTCACAAGGCCTTTGTGTTTGATACGCTACGGCTCGTAACCGCCTTAGGCACCCGATTGGCGCAAACGCATTCGTTCGAAGATGCGCGACTGCGTCGAGATATCCAAGACGCATTTGTGCGGTTGTATGAGCTTGTGATTACATTGTATGCGCGTAAGCTCGATGTATCCTCCGCCAACAAAGACAGTGATACAGTCTCGGCGCTGAGCGAGCGAGAAGAGGGGGATAGTCCTGTGGCACCCGCACCCGCACCGGCTACGGTCGTACAGTACCTGAGCGCGCAAGTCGTGCCGGCGCTAGCGCCTCTCATGGTCGATGCCGACAAAGCTATCGCATTGTGCACGAGTCTCGTGTACTATGTCGTTGCGCCTGGCTTCAAGGCGCGCTCACGTGGCGGTGAGCTGGAGCCTTTAGTGCTTGAGACGCTGTTGCAGATCAGTCGCGTATCCCAATCGAGCAAGACGTGGCGGACGCCTGTGCTGGAGACATTCATGGACAGTAAGTTCTTTTCACAGTCGCCCCAGATGGGCCAGCAGTGGGTGCCGCTGGTGGCCGCCTTGCTGAGCGCGGAGCGGGAGCGCCTCGCCGATGTCATGGCGCGGATTGTGCCGGCGCCATCGGCCAATTTGTTCACGAGTCGTGAGTCGGACATGCAGGCCCGTGTATTTGCCATTCGGCGTCTATCGTACTGTGTGTACGCTGAGAAACGCCATGTATTCTTGGTGCAGCTGCCTCAGATGCAAGAAAAGGTGGTGGAGATTTTGCGTTCGGGCCCGGCGGACCTCGTGCATGCCGAATTGTATCTGTTTATGCGTGTGCTGCTATGTCGCTTTGACTCACAGCACTTGACAGGATTCTGGCCGATCATTTTGACCGAGGTGCTGCGTATTTTGAGCGAGGCCAAAACGCAGCTACCCGCAGACGACTCGGACAAACTGCATCTCCTGTTCAGCGTGGCCAAGCTGGCCGATTTTCTCATCACGCTGCAGACAGACGATTTTCAGATTCACCAGTGGCTGCTCATTACCGACACGCCTGATGCAGTTTGTGCATCGCCTACCTGGACCCCTGACTCTCTCCTGGATGCGCTAGGTGACCTAATTGCGCAGGACCACCCCGCGGCCGATGCTGAAGGGCATGCTGTGTTGGCCATGGCACAGCAAGGGCAGCCTATGCTTCAGATGTCACGCGTGCGATCCTTGTCTGCGCTGGTGCCCTTTTTCTTGCATGCTTCGCGCGCCTTTTACGAAAGCGAGTCGCGGCACAACAGGGACTGGGACAATGTCAATGACTGCTTGCTGCGTGAGTTGTTCGAGCCGGTGCGAGTACGTTAAGGCAGTCCATAGATTCGAAGCGATGGATCTACTCAAGTAGAAAAGGGCCGATTTTCTCTGCGTGCATAAAAAGGTTTAGGTTTCTATAGATTGGAGGGGTCAAAAAGTGACCAGCACGGGGCTCGAACCCGCAACCTCCTGATAACTGGGAAGACCCATCGTAGTCAGACACACTACCAATTGTGCTAACCGGCCATGTCTGAAAGGGGTGCGGCAAACATATGCCTTTAGCGGTTACACCGCAGCGCTAGTGGACGAAAATCATAGCATTCTTCACGTCCCACGATCCGCGGCTCTTTTCCACGTTCTGGCGCTCTTGGAAGTACTCTCGTCCATCTGCGGCACCGTAGACCCAGTCAATACCGTCTGAACCTGGACGGAACCACTGTGGCTCGTACGTCTGACCCGACTCTTCCATCTGCTTGCGGCGTTCTCGCTGATCGTTCTCCAGCCGCAGCTTCAATTCCTCAGCCTGATCAGCATCACCTCTCTCCAGAGCCCGTTGGTCTGGACGCAAGCGACTGTCGGTTGGTGGCAGGATGTCCTTAATATCCTCGGTGATTTCATTCAACGAAATGGCAAACCGAGTGAAACCATAGTAGCGCGCCGGGTTCGGAGGCATAGGCTCCACCTCCCAAAGGACCTGCAAATGATCCTTGTCCATGACGCGCGCCACTTGCTCATCCCATTTACCCTTGATGGTACCAATGGCGCTGTTGTTAGGGTCGTACATCGTTCCTTCGATGTGATTGCGGTTTGCAGGTCCGCCAAACATGGTACCCTCCTTGAACTGGATCAACAGCCGCTCCTTGGTGACCAAGTTGGTAATTTGCATGTCACCGACATGCTCAAGGTACTTGTTACCAGCGAGCAAATTCCGCATAAACGAGCTGGGCTTGGAAATGCTGTATTTGTCGCCTGTGTCTAGTTCGACAACCTGGGCACCTTCCGCGATAAGCTCAAGTGACTTGCCCCAAAACTTGTTCTTCACTGTTCCTGAAGCAGAGACTTTCCAGCCCTTACCATAGCAGTACGATGCTACCACCGGTGGGCGGTGGACCACTTTCTCTGCAACAAAGTGCATGTCACGGTCTGCGCGAACACACTCGTACGTCTCTCCAAGAAGGGGGTTGAAGGGTTTGCGAGTCGTACGCTGCGCGGTAGATGCATAGCTGCTAACAGCAAAACTGCCCACCAAAAGCATACGCTCCACACTGTCCGACGACTGTGCAGCACGTTCCAGCAGAGAAGGAGCATACTCGTATTCCTCGGCCACCGCCTGCAGCAAGGAAAGGGGGCAGTTGAATGTCACAGGGAAGGAAATGGTCGACAAGTCCTTTCCCACATTCTTCTTCAGAATAGAGAAGAGAGACATTTCCTCTCCTGTCACGGGGGCCGGCAATTCTGCTCGATACTGGACAGCAGGACGGGTTGACGTGGCGACAGCACCATCAGCCAAGCCACCGGTCGTGCCCTCCGCCCGCTCATCGTCGTCGTCGTCATCGTCATCATAGACAATGTCCTCGGCCTCCTCGTCTTCTCCACGCATCTCGTACTCGATGCCATCCATCATTTCATCCGCATCGTAAAAGTCATAGTCGCCTTCATCGTTGATGAAAGATGGCGACTTTGATCCATTCACGTTTCGAAGCGCCATGCCTGTTGACATCAAGTGCTCATGTCCTGGCGAGGGTGGAGAGAGGAAAGCGGCATTGGAAGGCGTTCCCGATCGTGAAACACCTTCGCGAGGTCGACGCAAGAGTTGCTGACGAATGTGTCCATGTTGCTCTTGAATCTGGCGTAGTGCAACAATGACATTCTTGATGTCTAATGAATTGTAAGATGCGTTCACTTGGGAGAGCGAGCTGATGGAGGATTCCAGCAAGGCGTCGGCCTGGTCCATATGGGAAAACGCTGCGCCACTCACCGGGGACACCGCAGAGGCATTCGTCATATTGGCCGGAGCGACGCCTTCACCCACCCACTGATGCAAGAACTTACGAAGCTCAGTGCGCCACACCATAAAGTCGGTCTCTTTGAGCATCTTCAGATCTAGCAGGTTAGCGTCCTTGGATGATACGTACGAAACACACTGGAGCCACTGTCGACATGAATTGTACCTGAGGCGTAAGTTCATTATTCCAGATATATCATACCATGTCGAATATCTGAGCTCACGCTAGCGTGAGGCACATCGATAGCACCCCGAGCGCTGCTATCTGGATCCGTTGAGTAGGCCAACACGCCGTCTTCGAAGATAACAAGCCAGCGCTTAGCATAGCCTACATTGTTAGAACTTCCTCATTTCGTACCTTGCATCTTCTTCTTCTTCTTTTTCAACACCCAGCCGGAGTGCAACACCCTGGCAGTACTGGCGTCCATGACGACGGATAGGCAAAGTAGTGAAACCGGTCTCCGGCGTAGCTGCTGGCCCATTCCATGGGGTAAGGCTGCTGACTAATTGTGTTGCTATGTAAAGCGCACTTCCATGGGATTGGCAGCGTTTAGGCTCTTTCATTTTGGAGCACCGCCTCCGCATACATCACCTTGTACCGGACGAGTTCTTCCGCCATCTCTTCTTGGGATAGCTTCTCCATGACAACCCGCTTGATTAGGTTCACATGTTCTGAATTGAGATGATTGAGTTGATCTTCTAGAGCCTGGACCCTAATGCGCAAATTGCGGTTCACGGTGCGCAGTGCGTCCATCTCGATTTGTCGGTCATTCATAGCTTTTGCCTGTTCATAAAAGTCATTGGCATAGGATTCGAGTGTATATTGAGGGATTTTTACACGGAATGCATCGCGAACTAGCTCTCCAGTGCGGAAGATGGGTGCAGTTTCACTTCCCGTGCGATACACGTCGATTAAATTGATCTTTAAAAAGTCCAGGCAGCGCTCAAAGTCAAGCGAGAGCAGCGTTTCCTCATTTTTCTCCAAGAAGGCGATAGCAAAACGGAACATTGCATCGATACCTTCGGCAAAGATAGAGTCCAATATGCGGTATACAATCTCCAACGGGAAGCGGTACGAAAACAATGTCATAAACCATTGGCTGGCATACATGCTGCTGCGGATCCCCCGTCGCAAAAAGTGGTTATTTAGGACAGGGAGCATGTCTTCAAGAAGCCTGTCAAATTGATATAGTCGGAGTTGCAGAGCTGGCATGTTGGGGATAAAGTGCCCACGCAGATCGTAATTTTGCATGAGCCGTACAAAGGTGCTGAATGCTTCTTCGTCGGGCATATTCAACAGCAGCGGTCCAACCACAAACTGCATCCCTTGGCAGTAGCCACACTCTGGATCAAAAAGAGAGTATGCTTTGACCACATTGTATAGACTTTCTTGGCCCACACCTTTGGCATCTTTGAAATAGTCTTGAGAGGGAAAAGTGCGGCTCAAGTCACGACGAATCAATGATTCATGCGAGCAGGGCAGAGTCAGGTATTTGGCATATTGCAGTTCCAGCTCTTCGTCCTTGCTACTGCTTAGAAGCTGCCACATCATACCACGTAGCACAGACGGGATACCCGTATAGATGGCCTTGCTCAGCTCGATGGGGCTGGTGGCAAGAATATTGGAATAATCTGTGGTGAGTCTCACACAACATACCTTTGATCAGGCCACCCCAGAATTCCCAGTCAATCTGTTGAGCATCCTCCTCTCCCGGCCCTGAGGGCTCACTCTCATGTTTATCATCCAACTTCAATCCAAATTCTCTGCTGCCTGAACCCATACCATCCGCTTCAGCCTCACTCCTAGGCTGATTCCGAATCTGCAAGCGTTCAAAGCTTTTCCGTAACTTTCCAATTCCTAGAGCGGAGCGCCGCATTGCTTTTGGATCGTGATTCAATTTGCGGTTCTGTGCAACCATTCGAGCCAGGATAAGATCATACTCGGTGTCATTGATGCGCTCCGCTTTCTCAGAGGCTGCTTTGTGCTTTTCCGTATAGGAAGTAAGAGTTGGTACTTTCTTGGCCTTTGCAAAGACATGTTTGCTAGATTGTTCCAGCTTTTCTGGTTCTGCAAATGGATTTTCAATGATTTGTTCTGGTTGAATCATCGATGAAGCGCCGACGGAGGGTGAGATCGGGTCAGGTCTGGGCGCATTGGAGAGCATCGCTTTGACTGTATCCACATCAATGGGCGCATTGTCCAGCTCTGTAGAATCCGGCTGTGATTCACGAATAGAAGCAGAAGACAGTTCATGAGTCTCGGGAACGCGTTCATTCGTAGTGGTATGTGTGCTAGAATTATCATCATCTTGTAGTTCGCCGTATTCCTCTTCTTCGTCTTCGTCGTCCTCTTCATCCTCCTCCTCGTCTTCCTCTTCCTCTTCATCTTCCTCTTCGTCGTCGTCTTCCTCTTCCTCTTCATCTTCATCTTCATCTTCATCCTCCTCGTCGTCTTCATCTTCGTCTTCCTCGTCGTCTTCATCATCTTCGTCCTCATCTGTTTCCTCAGTGCCTTCGCTTTCTGATCGAGTGGCACTGGAGTCTGTGTATTCATCCGTCTCTGCAGTAGTTACACTTGCGGTATCTTCACCCTCTTCTATGACTAGTTTGGATCCAGTTTGTTTGCGCGCTTGACCCTTTGCACGGAACATACCGTGATTGTTTAACTCGGCTACGCGAACGTCAGATGCAGGTTGTATCACCTTGCATCCAGTTTTGTGGGGGTTTCGACCATGTGGAGCCACGTGCGTTCGAGTGCCTTCCACGTCAGCTCCGCTGGAACCAAGGTTGCCCATTGCCTATATAATCGGGCTCGACTCGGCATTAGCACAAGTGGTGGCGGACACTAGTTGTGGTTAGAGACCTTGTCATGTCGGTTACCAATGTCCCAGCTATTGATCCAATATTGCTTGTGCGTGCCGAGTCTACAAGGCATGTGTCACCGAGCTCTAGCATACTGTCCTCTTCTCCATCACCGCCACCGCTCTTGAAACGTTCAGCAGATGAAGAATTAACTACTACATATCCCAACAAGGGTTCTAGGTCATCTGAAGAAGAAAAGCTGGCACGTAGGCTTGCTCGTCAACAACGGAATCGCAAATCTGCGCAAGTATCGCGTGAGAAGAAAAAGGCTTATGTGGATCAACTTGAGCACGATGTTGCCGTGCTGCGAGCCGAGAAACAAGCCAGCGAACTGCGTGAGCGTATGGAAGCGTCTAAGCGTCTGGAATTGGAAGGGAGA